CTACAGGCTTGACACTCTCTTAACACATATGACACTCCCTCTACACGCTTGACACTCTCTTAATACATATGACACTCCATCTACATCTCTCTTAACACCTTGTGCTCCCTTTACAACGGCTTGACGCTCTCTTAACACATGTGACACTCCTCTACAGCAACTCTCTTAACACATGTGGCCTCCCTCTACACGCTTGACACTCTCTTAACACATATGACACTCCCCTCTACACGCTTGACCTCTCTTAATACATATGACCTCCCTCTACACGCTTGACACTCTCTTTACTCATCCTACGCTTGACACTCTCTATATGACCTCCCTTTACATGACATATATGACCTCCCTCTACACACTTGACCTTTCTCTTATACATATGTTGCCTCCTCTACACGCTTGACACTCTTAACACATATGACACTCCCTCCTACACACGCTTGACTCTCTTAACACATGTGACACTCCCTTTACACACTTGACTGCTCTCTTAACACACTCCTCTACACATGACACTCTGTAACACATATAGCCTCATCTACAGGCTTGACACTCTCTTAACATATGACCTCCCTCTACGCTTGACACTCTTTATGACCTCCTCTACCTTGACACTCTCTTAACACATATGACACTCCCTCTACACGCTTGACACTCTCTTAACACATATGACACTCCCTCTACACGCTTGACACTCTCTTAACACATATGACACTCCCTCTACAGGCTTGACACTCTCTTAACACATATGACACTCCCTCTACACGCTTGACACTCTCTTAACACATATGACACTCCCTCTACACGCTTGACACTCTCTTAACACATATGACACTCCCTCTACACGCTTGACACTCTCTTAACACATATGACACTCCATCTACAGGCTTGACACTCTCTTAACACATATGACACTCCCTCTACACGCTTGACACTCTCTTAATACATATGACACTCCCTCTACACCTTGACACTCTCTTAACACATATGACACTCCCTCTACACGCTTGACACTCTCTTAACACATATGACACTCCATCTACAGGCTTGACACTCTCTTAACACATATGACACTCCCTCTACACGCTTGACACTCTCTTAACACATATGACACTCCCTCTACACGCTTGACACTCTCTTAACACATATGACACTCCCTCTACACGCTTGACACTCTCTTAACACATATGACACTCCCTCTACACGCTTGACACTCTCTTAACACATATGACACTCCCTCTACACGCTTGACACTCTCGTAACACATATGACACTCCCTTTACACGCTTGACACTCTCTTAACACATATGACACTCCCTTTACACGCTTGACACTCCCTCTACACACTTGACATTCCCTCTACACACTTGACACTCCCTCTACACGCTTGACACCCCCTGTACACGCTTGACACTCTCTTAACACATATGACACTCTCTACACGCCGCTTGACACTCTCAACACATGTGACACTCCTTTACACGCTTGACACTCTCTCTTAACACATATGACACTCCCTCTACACGCTTGACACTCTCTCTTTTAACACATATGACACTCTCTACACGCTTGACACTCTTAATACATATGACACTCCCCACACGCTTGACACTCTCGTAACACATATGACACTCCATCTACACGCTTGACGCTCTCTAACACATGTGACACTCTTTACACGCTTGACACTCTCTTAACACATATGACACTCCTCTACACGCTTGGACACTTTAACACATATGACACTTCCCCTACACGCTTGACACTCTCTTAACACATATGACACTTTCTACACGCTTGACACTCTCTTAATACATATGACACTCCCTCTACACGCTTGACACTCTCTTAACACATATGACACTCCATCTACACGCTTGACACTCTCTTAACACATATGACACTCCCTTTACACGCTTGACACTCTCTTAATACATATGACACTCCCTCTACACGCTTGACACTCTCTTAATACATATGACACTCCCTCTACACGCTTGACACTCTCTTAACACATATGACACTCCCTCTACACGCTTGACACTCTCTTAACACATGTGACACTCCCTTTACACGCTTGACACTCTCTTAACACATATGACACTCCCTCTACACGCTTGACACTCTCTTAACACATATGACACTCCTTACGCTTGACACTCTTCACATATGACACTCCTCTACACGCTTGACTCTCTTAATACATGACCTCCTCTACACTTGACACTCTCTTAACACATGACCTCCTCTACACGCTTGACACTCTCTTAACACATATGACACTCCCTCTACACGCTTGACACTCTCGTAACACATATGACACTCCTTTACACGCTTGACACTCTCTTAACATATGACACTCCTTTACACGCTTGACACTCCCTCTACACACTTGACATTCCCTCTACACACTGGCACTCCCTCTACACGCTTGACACCCCCTGTACACGCTTGACAGCCCTTCTACATAGGCTTAACGATTCACTCCGGGCGATGCGAATACAACACATTATAATTTTTCCTTCCAGTTAACAAGGAGGCAGCGTGACCGGCACTGTACCCGACGCCCCCTTCACTATACTCAACTGCACTGTACCCGACCCCTTCACTATCCTCAACTGCACTGTACCCGACGCTTCACTATCACTCGCTTGCACTGTACCCGACCCCTTCACTGTACTGTACCCGACGCCCACTATACTCAACTGCACTGTACCCGACCCCCTTCACTATCCTCACACTGCACAGTGGGGCAAACAAGGAATCCTGAAGACTGGGGACGAGCGTTCTATCCACTCAACCACCACACCCCTAATCAGAATAGGTTGGGTTGGGTTGGTGGGTTGGGTTGGGTTGGGTTGGGATGGGATGGGCTGGGTTAGGCTGGAGGTGGGTTGGGTTGGGTTGGGTGAGATGGGTTGGAGGCTGAGGCAGGCTGGGCTGGGCTGGGCTGGGCTGGGTTGGGTTGGGTTGGGCTGGGTTGGGTTGGTTGGGCTGGGTTGGGTTGGGTTGGGCTGGGTTGAGTGGCTGGGCTGGGCTGGGCTGGGCTGGGTTGGGTTGGGCTGGGCTGGGCTGGGTTTGGGCTGGGTTGGGTTAGGTTGGGTTGGGTTGGGTTGGGTTGGGTTGAAAACAATCCGTGAAGCTGATTGGCTAATTTAATCTGTGAGAGAAAGGACTAGTCGCGGTCAAAACAATCATGGTGTCGTAGAGCGGAGTCTTACAGCCTGCTGACCGAAACAAAACAAGAGCTGTGAGCGTGGCTGTCTCTGACCTGTTTTACTGATGAAACTAATTATTTTTTTTACTGCCGCGTAATTTAAGCATAAGAGCATTGTTTCATTACAACCTCTAAGGAGACGATAGGTTACTGATGAAGAGAGAGAGAGAGAGAGAAGTATAATTCCCCTTCATACAGTAACGTGTGTGGTGGTGTGGTTAGCTGGAGTAGTTAAAGGGGAAGATGTTGGCAGCAGGGGGGAGGAGGAGGTGGTGGCAGCAGGAGTAGGATGAGGTGGTGGCAGCAGGGGGAGGAGGTGTGGCAGCAAGAAGGTGGTGGTGGTAGCAGAGGAGGAGGTGGGGCAGCAAGAAGGTGGTGGTGGCAGCAGAGGTAGGATGAGGTGGTGGCAGCAGGAGGAGGTGGTGGCAGCAGAGGTGGTGGTGGCAGCAGAGGTGGGATGAGGTGGTGGCAGCAGAGGGAGGTGGTGGTGGCAGCAGAGGGAGGTGGTGGCAGCAGAAGGTGGTGGTGGTAGCAGAGGGAGGAGGTGGTGGCAGCAAGAGGTGGTGGTGGTGGTGGCAGCAGAGGTAAGGGGCGACAGAGTAATGATATGTGTATAGTATTAGGTAAGGTGGTGTAGGTATGAGCTGTGCGTCACCACCCACAGTAATGCCCTGGAGTATATGGCCCCGCACGCCCGCCCATGTCACGCACCGCCTCCCCCGTGTATATATAGTGGTCACCGCTGTAATCGCTTCCAATCGCTTTAGTAACGGACTGAGCCGTTCATTTGAGGCTTTGGTAAACCAGAGGAAAAAAAAAACATGACAGAATATAAATAACCTGATAAACACACACACACACACACACACACACACACACACTTTTTTTTTCAATTTCTATCATAATTCCTGATAATTTAACCTCTTTTCCTCATATTAACGCTCAAACTTTAATCCTTGTTTCATGGTCGATCCTCATATACATAAAACACACACACACACACCACAAAAAAACACCTTAGTTACCCAAAGGTGAATCATCAGTTATTCTTGATCAACGACCTAATTTTATCCCCATTGAATTAAAGCGAGTCACGTGTATATTGGAAAATCTCGTTTTAAGCTTAAGCTGTCATGTGATCTACATAGTTGGTGTGTGTGTGTGTGTGTGTGTGTGTGTGTGTGTGTGTGTGTGTGTAAGAACAAAAGACGTTTATAGTGTGTTTAAGGACCCAAATATCAAGTCTCAACCTCCCAATGAACTCCTTTAAATGAACCCCAATCAACACCCACCAATGAACCCCTACACGAACCCCCAATCAACACCCACCACTAAACCCCTAAAATGAAACCCTTAAATCAACACCCACCAATGAACCCCTAAATGAACCCTAATCAACACCACCAAACAACCCCTAAATGAACCCTTTCAATCAATTAAAACATCCAGTAATGACCCCTTGAAGGAGCCTTTAAACTAACCCTTAAATATAATACACCCACCGATGAACACCTAAAATGAACCCTTAATTAACACCCACCAATGAACCCCTAAAATGAACCCTTAATCAAGTAAAACACCCAGTAGTGAACCCCGAAACTGAGCCCTTAAACCGAACCCTTAAACTGAACCCTTAAACTGAACCCTTAATCAAGTAAAACACCCAGTAGTGAATCCCGAAACTGAACCCTAAAACAGAACCCTTAGACTGAACCCTTAATCAAGTAAAACACCCAGTAGTGAACCCCGAAACTGAAACCCAAAACTGAACCCCTAAACCGAACCCTTAAACTGAACCCTTAGACAAGTAGAACAGTACCAGTGGAGACAGTGCAGTGTCGGGCCGCCTCTGAAGTGCCTGACCTGTACACAAATAAGGTGTTCATAGTGTACACGACCAGCATGTATACATTACTGTGTATAACCTTCAGTAACAGGTATACACTCTCATGTATACTTGTTTTGGTTGTGGTGGAGGTTGTGGTGGTTGTGTTGTGATTGTAGGTATGATGGTGTGGAAGTTGTAGTAGTGACTATGAGGGGTGTGATGGTGATGGTGGTTGTGGTGGTTGTTGTGTGAGGGCTGTGGTGGTGATGGTGGTTGTGGTATTGTAGTGGTGATGGTGGTTGTTGTGTGAGGGCTGTGGTGGTGATGGTGGTTGTAGGGGGTGTTAGTGGTTGTGGTGGTTTTGGGGGGGGTTAATAATTGTGGTGGATGTGGTTGCGATGGTGATATTGATAGTGAAAATGGTATAATTGTGATGATGGTGGCGGTAGTATTGGTCTTAATGGCGCTGGTAGCTGTGGTGGTGACAATGGTGGTAATGGTTTTGGTAGGTCTTTCGTGGAAGCGGTGATGGTATCTATGGCATTACTAGTGATGGGTATGGTGGTATTAATGGTGGTAATGGCGCCGGTGGTTTTTCCATTAGCGTAATACCCGAGTGGCGGACGGGACACCATTAAGTACCAAGACTAACCTAGTGACGCCCTCAGCCCTAAGAGACGGCCCTGCGAGGTACCACTTACCCTTTACCCTTCTGAGTCAAGGTGCCATCTGTCCCTACAATGGCATTAAAAGGTTATGAGATATAATGGTCGCTGGTACTGTTATTTATCCATGATCTAATCTATCCCCTAACCACACCTAACCTAACCACACCTAGCCACACCTAACCTAACCACACCTAGCCACACCTAACCTAACCTAACTAAATCCGAAGGAAGGGAGATATCAGGGTCATGGAGTAGAAAGGAAGAGGTCAGGGGGAAGGAGGGGGTCAAGGAGGAGAAAGAAATCAGGGGAAAGGGGGGTCAGAGGGGAAAAAGAGGGTCAGGGGAGAAGAGGTCAGGGGGAGTGAGAAAAAGGATTTTGGGAGGGGTAGGGGAGGGGGGGAGGGAGGGTGTCTGGGAGAACAGGAAGGGGGTAAAAGGGGGAGGAGAGGAGGCATGGGGGAGGAGGGGGGGGTCAGGGGGGAAGAGGGACAGGGGTCAAGGAGGGAGGGGAGGGGTCAGGGGAAGGGAAGGGTCAGGGGGGAGGGGGGCTGGGGAGGGAAGGCCGGGGAGGGGGAGGAGGGAGGAGGTCAGGGGAGGGAGGTCAGGGGGGAGGGGAGAGGGGGCGCTGGGGGAAGAGGATGGGGTCGGGGAGGAGGGGAGGGGAGGTCAGGGGAGGGAGAGGGAAGGGGTCAGGGGAAGGAGGGGATGGGGTCGAGGAGGAGTGGGATGGGGGTGGACAGAGGAGGAGGAGGAAGGGGGAGAGGTGGGGAAGGGAAGGAGGAGGTGGTGGTGCCATATGAGGAAGAGAGTGAAATTGTGACCCTTAACCTCCTGACTGTGGGAAGGCGTGGTTGTGCCTCCTCTTCATCCTCCTTCTTCTCTTTCTATCACTTTAAAACAGCCCCATCTCTACTCCCCATCACTTTAAACAGCCCCATCTCTACCCCATCACTTTAAAAACAGCCCCATCTCTAACCCATCACTTTAAAACAGCCCCCATCTCTACCCCCCATCACTTTAAAATATTCCCCATCTCTAACTCCATCACTTTAAAAACAGCCCCATCTCACCCCATCACTTTAAAACAGCCCCATCTCTAACCCATCACTTTAAAACAGCAGCCCCATTTCTACCCCATCACTTTAAAACAGCCCCATCTCTAACCCATCACTTTAAAACAGCCCCATCTCTAACCCATCACTTTAAAACAGCCCCATCTCTAACCCATCACTTTAAAACTGCCTCAGCGCTGTACCATCACTTTAAAACTGCCTCAACACTGTACCATCACTTTAAAACTGCCTCAGCACTGTACCATCACTTAAAAACAACCCCATCTCTTTAAAACAGCCGAGCCCCTATCTCTGTCTCCTGAGCCCCGGGTGGAAGTCAAGATGCAGGTCTCGTTATAAATTTCATGGATGAGAACACACACGCCCCTCACCTTCACCTCCCGTGTGTGTGTGTGTTGGAGGCGGTGGTTACTGTACTAGTCCACCCCTCCATCTACTGCCCTCCCCTCCTCCCCTACCTCCTCTTCCTTCTGTCCATTTACTGCCAGCCCTTCTTCCTCTTTCCCTCCCCTACTGCCTTCCCCTTCCTTCTGTCCATCTACTCCCTTCTACTTCCTTCCTTCCCTGCCTTCACATTCCCTTCATCCTCCTTCCTCCTGTGGTTGTCTGTCTAAACATTGAGAGCATCACCGTATCATCCTGGAAATATAATGTGTTCTATTGTATGTCGTACGGTGTCCTACGATGTCCTACTGTGTGTGGCGGTGTCCTGTGTAACCAAGTATCCTTCACCCAGAAACCAAGAAAGTCTCTCTCTCTGTATATCCTTCAGGATCTTTGTTTGTAATTTAGAAAGTCCTTCCTTTGGTGTCCTACTCTACCCTATATCTCTGGATGTCATACGATACCTGTCTCTCTGTATCCTTCTGTAGCTTTCCTGCTGCAGTGTACACTGTTCTCCGCCTGGCTCACAACACGCCCCTCCTTCCCTTCTGCGCCTTAAGATAGTTCCTCGTGGGTCAGCCGTCATGAGGTCAGGTGCTCACGACAGTCCGTAAATTAAGGTATCTCCTATTGTGCTTCCTTCCTCTCCAGCCTTGGATACCCTGACCCTGCATCCTAAGGCAACCCCCCTCTCCTCCTCCTCTGCTTGAATAGGAGGAGGGGGGGGGGGGCGGTCGGGGGCACTGAGAGTAGCAACAAGTCTGGTCGGTCTTCCAGACCAATCCTCCGCCATTATTTATGCCCTTAGTGAGCGCCGCCACCACCAGGGGGACACTGGTAACGAGATATCAACTGCCATCAATTCTCTCTCAAGGGCTGGTGATCACTGCCTCAAGTGGATGCCGCGCGTAGCACAGTAAGGAGACTTGGGTGTGACAACTCATTTCGTAAACATATTTTGTATCGGCTCAGCGTGGTGTCTGACGCTGTACATAGACCGACATACAGTTACCACTCTTAAGAAAGATATATTTAAGTATTACAAACTGGTGTTAGTGGTTTATCTTTACAGAGGCGCCGCGTGCCTCACACTGACCACCACCCCAGCAGACATTTGTGGTATCTGGCGGCCGAAGTGTTCACCCCGCCAGAGCCCGAGTGCCTGCTGGTGACTGCCTACTGAAGCCCACGCCACCGCCACTGCCGAGCAGGATAGGGTGTACGCCAAGCAAAACGGGATGTGGGCCGGGCAGAACGTGGGTGTGGACCGAACAGGATGGGGTGTGGGCTGGACAGGACGAGGGTGTGGGCCGGACAGAACGGATTGTGGGCCGGGCAGGACGAGTTGTGGGCCAGGCATGACGGGTGTGGGTCGGACAGAACGGGTTGTGGGCCAAAGCAGGACAAGCAGTGGCCTATACGGTGTTGTGTGTCCCGTCTCTTTAATTAAGTCAGCCGGGCGTGAACCACCAGACACCATCACTGACAAGAGCTACAAGACTTTATCATTAATGACCTTCTGAGGCTCACATTACTACCTGGTTTGTTTTAATTATCACAAACACCTGTCACACCTGTCAACTGACCAGTCACACACACACACACATACATACATATACAACCCCACACACACACACACACACACACACACACACTGACAGACCATCCGCACACACACACACACACACACACACACACACACACACACACACACACGTACGTTCTCCTCAGCTTGATTTTCAGAGTAAAGGCAGTATAATAAAATAAATCTTAAGCTATATTCTTCTGCCAGACTCTGGCCCTTCTCTCAGAGCTCGCCCCCGTGACAGGTCGTGTGCACTTGAGTATGTCGGCAACAAGGAGGCAGACAGCACCCCCTGGTGAAATTTCTACCACACAACCACCCTCCTGTCTCCTACTCTTCCTCCTCCCCCTATCATCCTCGCCCCCTCCTAGATGTCCTTCTCCACCACCTTACCACCTCCTGCAGGTCAGCTTCTTCCTCCTCCTCCAGATCCTTCCCTCCCCAGGTCACTAACATTCTTCCTTACCTTAACCTAACCTAACCTAACCTAACCTAACCTTACCTTAACCTAACCTTACCTTAACCTAACCTAACTTAACCTCCCTATCTATAAATTTGTTCATCTATTTACATAACTATATATTCATAAGACAGTCCACCAAGGAGTAGGATTATCCTCGGCTATATTTACCAAGCACTATATTTCCTTAGTCTATTTAGTAGTGAGCTGGATGGACCAAGCCCCTCTACACACACACACACACACACACACACACACACGAACGTATAAGAACAAAAACAACTTTTAAAAATATACAAACATACAAAACAGGTTGAGCAGCAGGGCGTCAGGAGATAAGTTCCGGACGTCACAAGCAAGAAAGAGAAGAGGCGGCGACTAAGATTATCCTGGTGATGCCTCTTGACCCCTGGGGGCTCCGTGACGTCACATGTCAACAAACCCGAGGCAACCAATGGCGCCACAGATACTGGTTCCTCCACAGTGGGTTGTTGTTGTCGCTATTTGATACAGAGTCCCCAGGTCGTGACCATCACCAACAAGGTACACAAACAATGATAATAGATCGTGGTGTAAAGTCAGTATATGTTAACTCATAAAATAGCTTAAACACTGACAGTAACGCAGCTGTTTCTGTCGGCCACAAACTGTAATGTTATAAATTACTTCCATTTTAACTAGTGCTATTATTATTATTATTATTATTATTATTATTATTATTATTATTATTATTATTATTATTATTAACGTCTATAATTATTGTCTCGTAAAGATAAAATAAAATACTAATGGGATAATAACGTCTTCTCTCTTTCTCCCTCTCAGGCTCTGCCTCCCTCTCTCCCTACCTGGCCTGTCTCTCTACCTCCCTGACCTGCTTCCCTCTCTCCCTCCTTACCTGGCCTGCCTCGCTCTCTCCCTGCCTGGTCTAGCCTGCCTCGCTCCCTCCCTTCCTGCCTGGCCTGCCTCGCTCTCTCCCTCCCTGCTCCTCTACCCCTGGCCTGCCTCGCTCTCTCCCTCCCTGCCTGGCCTGCCTCGTTCTCCTACCTGGCCTGTCTCCCTACCTCCTGGCCTGACTCCTTGCTCTCTCCCTGGCCTGCCTCGCTCTCTCCCCTGCCTGGCCTGTCTCCCCTACCTCCTGGCCTGCCTCCCTCATTCTCTCCCTGCCTGGCCTGTCTCCCTGCCTCCCTGGCCTGCCTCCTCGGCCTGCCTGCCTCTCTTCCTCCTGCCTGGTGCTCCTCCTCCCTCCCTGCCTGGCCTGCCTCGCTCTCCCTGCCTGGCCTGCCTCCCTCCCTGCTTGGCCTGCCTCCTCGCTCTCTCCCTGCCTGGCCTGCCTTGCTCCCTCCCTGCTTGGCCTGCCTCCCTCCTCTCTCCCTGCCTGGCCTGCCTCCCCTCCTCCTGGTCCCTCCCTCTGCTCTCTCCCCAGCCTGGCCTGCCTCCCTCGCTCTCTCCCCTGCTTGGCCTGCCTGCCTCGCTCTGCCTGCCTCGCTCTCCTCCTCTCTCCTGCCTGGCCTGCCTCGCTCTCTCCCTCCTGTCTGCCTGCCTGGCCTGCCTCGCTCTCTCCTGCCTGGCCTGCCTCGCTCTCTCCCTGCCTGCCTGCCTGGCCTGCCTCGCTCTCTCCCTCCCTGCCTGCCTCGGCCTGCCTCCTGCCTCTCTCTCCTGCCTGCCTGGCCTGCCTCCTGCCTGCCTCTCCTCTCCCCTGCCTGCCTGGCCTGCCTCGCTCTCTCCTCCTGCCTGCCTGGCCTGCCTCGCTCTCTCCTCCTGCCTGCCTGGCCTGCCTCGCTCTCTCTCCTCCCTGCCTGCCTGGCCTGCCTCGCTCTCTCCCTCCCTGCCTGCCTGCCTGCCTCGCTCTCTCCCTCCCTGCCTGCCCTGGCCTGCCTCGCTCTCTCCCCCCTGCCTGCCTGGCCTGCCTCGCTCTCTCTCTCTCCTGCCTGGACTGCCTCGCTCTCTCTCTCTCCTGCCCTGGACTGCCTCTCTCCCTCCCTGCCTGGCCTGCCTCCCTCCGTCTCCCTCTCCACCACAGTAACTAATAATTAGGTCACAACACCCCCCTCCCCCACACACCCTCAGCCTCCATCTATTGTGCTCCACGTAATACACCATTGTCACTGTGGCCGTGTGATGGGGTCGTAATACTCTACTGGAGGCCGTCGATGACAACATATACCAGGAAGAATAACCCTGGAGTGGAGAGCCTCAATGATGGTAGCTTACTCCAGTGAATAAATAGTTAAATTAGAGACTTAATGTTAATTTTGTCCCCAACTGATGCTAAGTTAACGTATCTAATAATAATTTATCCTGTGTATAAATTTAATATTATTTCTTGTAGTTTATTTTTGTACTGTAACTTAAGTGAATAATTTAAGAGTTTAGGAGAAATATTCAATGTAGGGACTTTTGATAATTCACTGAGTATCTGTTAAAATGTTTGTCGTTCAGCGGACCACGGACCCACTGTGGCTGATAACTGTTGAAGGAGACAATGTTAACCTCTACAGCAGTGACCAGTGTCAATAGTGAGGCTGTCAACACCTATGTACATTGAAACATGAGATACCACACACCCACACACACCCACACACCCCTTCCTCACCCTCCCCACTCCTTTCCACACCTACACCGCCGAAGCTCTCAGGGCGTAATCATTAGTCCAGCGCCAGTATATTGTTCTTAACCTCGTGGGCATCAGTTTCCTCCACACACACACACACACACACACACACACACACACACTCCTGGGTACATGTAGCAAATGTATAATCTACACAACCAGAATTAACTAGATAATCAGCAACTAAGCACACCTTACCACAACCTTCTCACGTGCTAGAGGACAGACCTGTACCTGAGTGGAATTAACCCCTGTATCTCACCCGCAACAGACTTAAGTAGCCATACAGTGTGTTATATTTTGGTAGATAAATAGAAAAGCCAAATAGTGTTTATGTGAACAGTAAATACTATTAAATAAATGCGAAGTAACTACAAAAGTTACAAGGTACTAGCTGGAGGGAACACCAGCTAGTACAGGGTGACTAGTATATGTGATTACCTGACATTCCTTACCTATAAATATATACACCAGGAGGAAATTAATGTACCGGCACTGTAATAAACACAATATATTGGTTATTTTACATGTTTTGGGTCAAGCCTTTCAACCATGGACTACCAACCAAACCCAAGCGGCGCTCAATACCTCGACTACCGAAAAAATATACACCAACCAATCCCAGAACCTCTCGTATTTCCCCTTTATTAATTTCACCTCCTCCCCTTTCTCTTCCTCCTCATTCTTCACTTTTTCTTTCTCCTCCCCCTCCATCACCTTAACCACCTCCTCCTCCTCCTCCACCTTTTCTTCCTCTTCCTCCTCCACCTTTTCTTCCTCTTCCTCCTCCATCACTTTAACTATCTCTTCCTCCTCCTCTTTCTCTACCTTTTCTTCTTTCTCCTCCTTCACCTTATCTACTTCCTTCTCCTTCATTTTTTCTTCCTCTTCCTTTTCTTCTTTGTTCTCCTCATCCTCCCTCTCCTGCTCCTCTTCCTCATCTTTCACCAACCAAATTCAGAAGGTCAATAGCATCACGAGGGAGGCGAGAATAAATATATATTAACCCCATATATCGGAGGACGCATTTAATATATACTTATTTTTACCCCCAATAAGATATAGTAAGAGAAATTACGTGTAATATTTCAATGTGATTCTGATCTTTTAAAATGCTAGTTTTTGCACAACGTAGAACTCCTGATACGTAATTTGTCTTAGTATGCCTTATTGTGGGTAAAAACAAGTAAATAAGTGTTCTCTGGACCGCCAGGTTCTTCACGACCTCCATGATGGGATTCCCACTATTGTTCTTGGCGACTTTAATGCCCGCCATCCCACTCTTACTCCGGATCATCCCACGCCATGTACCCTTAACGGATCACATCTCTCACAGTTTCTTAATGGGGATGATGATGTTCGCTTTCTTTGTCCTGACGATCCTACTCGCCTCCCCCATAGTTTCCTTGATGTTGGCTTACTATTGAACGGTCATATCTCCTTTCATCCTACCGTCTGCACCGAGCCTGCTCTGTATAGTGACCATCTTGCCGTTACTACCCATCTCAGGCTCTCCTTCTCTGCCCCGACATCAGCTCCTTATCGATTCCCTCGCCTTCGTCTCACACAAGATGCTGTTCCTTCCTTTACCCAATACCTTTCTACCTGGGCAGATTCCTATGTTGTCCCCCAGTCCCTTGACTCTTACAGCTCTGATTTTGTTGATGCCGTGTATGACTCTGTCAATCGCGCTACCCCTCCACGCCCTCCCCGTCACCCCAGAAGTGCCACCAACTACTGGTATCGTATCCCTGCCATGAGACATCTCCGGCAGGTAACCCGTGATCTCCACTCTGCCATACGGAGGTCTCGGTCTTCAGAGGACTGGGAAGACTTAAAAATTGGTGCTCCTTTGCAACTCAGGAGCGCCGTCGGACAAGGCGGACTAATATGCTATACGGGGTACTCGACGGAGGCCTCCTCCCCACCCTGACCCCGCCTCCCTTGCCTGCTCTTTAATGGAGGACTGGGCACGAGCTTCCTCCCCTGAGGCACTTCCAGATCCAATGCAGGAGGCAGTGCAGGCCCGCATCGATGCGTCTGAGCCTGTTGTTCGTGCTGCTCTTACCTCCCCTGCCCCCACTGATCATCCCATCACACAGTTCGAGCTTGGCAGTGCTCGTCGCTCTAGAAAAGACACCTCTCCTGGGGATGATCAGGATAACCTACTCCGTCCCTGCCAACGCCTGTACTAATATTCCTAACGGGCCCTTTGCTTACCTCTACAATATGTCTTATGAACATGGGGGTTCTCCTCTGTCCAACTGAAAAAAATGCCATTATCCCCATCCCCAAGCCGGTAGATCCTGGGAAATATCGACCCATTAGTCTTGCACTTCCTGTGTTTGCAAGATAATGGAGAGGGTACTCCATCGTCGCCTCTTCAATAACCATAGCGGCTTCCACAACCTCATCGGTTTCTATTCAACATCGCAGCACACAGCACACTCCATTGCTTCCTTTTTATTGCAGGTAACCAGACTGCCTGCGTCTCCGTCTTTCCTTGATATCAAGGGAGCCTTTTGATACGGCTCAGCCTGCCCTCATTTCAGCTGGAACTTGCGCGGTTAGGGGTTACTAAAGGAGACTTCTACAATGGATCGCTCTCTACCTCACTGACGTCAGGCCCGTTCGCGTTGAAGGCTCTATGTCTCCTGTCTCAAGAAATGAACCTCGAGACCCTCAAGGTGGAGACCTGTCCCACCTTGTTTAAAACTCCTATGCACTCCATTGCATCTCTCCTGCACGACAGAAGTTGTCCACTCAGGATATGCTGACGATGTCCCTCCTCGAAGCTCCTGGACTGCTCCCAGCATGCAGGGAAGCTCCTTGATCTGGTCTCCAGAGAGTGTGATTCACTTGGCTTCTCTTTTCAACTGGTGAAAACAAAAGCTATGTGGCACGGTCGTTGTACCTCCACCCCCCTTCTATCAGGAACGCTCCTTGGGCTAAGAATGAGACAAAAATACCTGTGTGTATGTAACTCGCACATCGTTGTCGATCCCTGAAGTCCGCTATCTTCGAGACATGCTTCGGTGTCTCGCTCCCCTCTACTATGTGCAGGGGTTCCTTGGTGCCACCATCCCTGTACTTCTCTCACCATGTATGTCCATTGTCTGTTCCTGTACGACTACGCCACCTGCCCTGCTCAACATTGGTCGGACTGCTGTCAACCGTCTCTGAAGTTATCCAGAGTGAAAGCTGCTCGTATCATCCTTGGGGCCCTCAGTGACACACTCCACTTCTATATACCGAACTTGGTCTTTCCTCTTACAGGATCGTGTCCAGGAGTTTTCAATTTAAAACTCGTCGATTCTACGGGATCTCGAAAATCCATATGCGTCCAAACCAATCCTTGACTCCTGCTGTCCGAGACTGACTCCATCTAGAAGACAGTGGCGAGGGTCACCTTGATCCGAGCCTTTCAGGAACACACGAGACTCCTTTTGCCTGATATTGTTGTCACCCCTGCTGTTGGCCTGTCTCCTTTCCTCCCTGGCTGATTTTCAACCTGAAGTGACGTTCTCGGTGGACTGCCCCTGAAATCCCAGGTAAACCCCTGGTATTCTCTCTCTCTGCAAATACCACCTCTCTCCAGGATCGCTCACTGGTCCCCAGGTAGGGGCTGTCCCCACACTGATGGTTCTGCGACCTCATTACAGTAGGCCGGGGCTGGTGTCTACATCGCCCGTCCTGATGCCCTGAGCCTATCAAACTGTCTTCAGGAGTTTCTGACGGGGCATCCCTCCACTCCAGCTGAACTATCAGCCCCCTCCTTGCTGCCCCTTCGTTGAGGAAGAAGCAGATGGCTTTTGCCCTTGCTGGTTCTTTGCTGTGATCTCCAGGGTCTGCTCGACGCAATCAATTTTGGATCAGGTACAAGGACCATCCTCCGAATACGAGGGTTAACATCCACACTTCAGGATACAGGCCGTCCCAGGACATTATTCCTATGGATACCCAGTCATGTCGGTATCTTGGGGAATGAGGCAGCAGGATGGCTCTGCCAAGACTGGCTGTACCAAGGCCACACCTGACTACGTTGTTCCTCGAACACTTTTGCATAAGGACCCAAATTCGCCGCAAACAGAGAGAAGTCAAAAGCAGCCATCCCCTGCGGACTCCCTGCCCACCAGGTACGATGTCTTCCTAAAACTCCTAATCTCGTATGCTCCATATGGAAAGGGTCGCAGTGTATTTTGGATTATGCCTCTGTATCATCATTGGGTATGACTTTTGTTAGAGATTGGTATCCCCACATCCCTGAGCACAGTTTTGTGCAATATGAAGATCTGACAGCAGCACCCTTATCCACTACCCTGTTCCCACACACAACGCTTCAGACGCCTGCTGGATCAATTACCCACGACCTCTTATTAGAGACACGATGATCATCCTCCCCATACTGGCTGGCCAGATATTTGTAAATAATATTGGATTATGTGTTACAATATCCTTCCTTCCTTAGGGCTTTAGTAAGCCCCTTTATAATATTTATATTGTATATACTTGTCACACTTTTGCCAGATGCTTCTGGTGTCATTGTACAGGGTACTAAGTGACAGCACTAGGATCCCGCTTCCTCTATCAAGGAATAAACAATTGAAATTGAAATTGAAATTTATAAGTATATATTAAATGCGTTCTCCGAAAGCGTGAATTTGCTACCAGAGTTTAATAGTTAAATCATGGGTAAGATTTCTGATAAACTTCCTACTTGCTCATGTTTGAAATAATAAATGTATGTATCTTTATATAATTTAGCTAAATATCTTTCTCGTCAGAAACGGTCATACCAACGATTATGAATAAACTCCCTTAGAAATACATCATTACTTCAGGACGAAATCGGACAGATTTACAACAGCCAATCAGCTGTAACTCTTGAGCAGGGGGCGGAACAACTGTGAACATGTGGTACTAGAGTTGTAGAGAACATGTACAGTCGAGGTCAAAAGTTTTCTACCTCCCTTAATGAAGCAGCTTCGACCCCAAATGAAACACAACAGTCAGGGTAAGTCAGTTCGGAGACTCATTAACGTGACTCAGTTTTACGACGGAGAGCAAACTTTTGTCCGCGACTGTACATGGTGAGCGAGATAATACAGACATATATTTAGATAGCTACAGTATACAGTAGAAGGGAGCCTTCTGAAACTTACCTGTAATATGTGGCATGGAGGCATAGCAGAGCAGGTAAGGTTATAATTAGTCCTTGTTCACTATTACTACTACCCACTTTCACCAACCAGTATCACCACACGTTCACCACACTCACTATCACCACAACACTATCACCAGCCCGGCACAAGTGATCCCATCTGAAGTAAGTCTGGCGTGAAGCTGGACCACTTGTATTTACCTGAAGTATTTTTGGTATATAACATTTACGCAAGTTTGTTAATTATACAGCATGTACACACACATCCTGGCAACATTACAACATGTACACACACATCCTGGCAACATTACAACATGTACACACACATCCTGGCAACATTACACCATGTGCACACACATCCTGGTAACATTACAACATGTACACACACATCCTGGCAACATTACAACATATAATACACATATCCTGGCAACATTACAACATGTACACACACATCCTGGTAACATTACACTGTACACACATCCTGGCAACATTACAACATGTACACACACATCCTGGCAACACAGTTCACACCTGGCAACATTACAGCATGTACACACACCCTGGCAACATTACAACATGTACACACACATCCTGGCAACATTACACCATGTACACACACATCCTGGCAACACACATACACACACATCCTGGCAACATTACACCATGTGCACACACATCCTGTATTAATACACCGTGTACACACATCCTGGCAACATTACAACATGTACACACACATCCTGGCAACATTACAACATGTACACACACATCCTGGCAACATTACAATATGTTCACACACCCTGGCAACATTACAGCATGTACACACACCCTGGCAACATTACAACATGTACACACCCCTGGCAACATTACAACATGTTACACACACATCCTGGCAACATTACACACACACATCCTGGCAACATTACAACATGCACACATCCTGGCAACATTACACCATGTGCACACACATCCTGGCAACATCACAACATGTACACACACATCCTGGCAACATTACAACATGTACACACATCCTGGTAACATTACACCATGTACACACATCCTGGCAACATTACAACATGTACACACACCCTGGCAACATTACAACATGTACACACACCCTGGCAACATTACAGCATGTACACACACTGGCAACATTACAGCATGTACACACACCTGGCAACATTACAACATGTACACACACCCTGGCAACATTACAACATGTTCACACACCCTGACAACATTACAACATGTTCACACACCCTGGCAACATTACAACATGTTCACACATCCTGGAAACATTACAACATGTACACACACTCCTGGCAACATTACAACATGTTCACACAACCTGGCAACTTACAAATATACACACACCCCAAGAAGACATAAACATGTTCACACACCTGGCAACATTACAACATGTTCACACACCCTGGCAACATTACAACATGTTCACATATCCTGGCAACATATAAATACACACACCCTGGCAACATTACAACATGTCTACACACCTGGCAACATTACAACATGTTCACACACACTGTGGCAACATACAACATGTTCACACACCCTGACAACACACATGTACACACACCCTGGCAACATTACAACATGTTCACGCACCCTGGCAACATAGCAACATGTTACACACCCTGGCAACATTACAACATGTTCACACACCCTGGCAACATTACAACATGTACACACACACCTGGCAAGAAATTACAACATGTACACACACCCTGGCAACATTACAACATGTTCACACACCCTGGCAACATTACAACATGTTCACGCACCCTGGCAACATTACAGCATGTACACACACTGGCAACATACAGCATGTACAACCCTGGCAACAATTACAACATGTACACACACCCTGGCAACATTACAACATGTTCACACACCCTGGCAACATTACAACATGTACACACACCTGGCAACATATAACATGTTCACACACCCTGGCAACATTACAACATGTTCACACACCTGGCAACATATAAACATGTACACACACTCATGGCAACACATAGCATGTACACACACCCTGGCAACATTACAGCATGTACACACAACTGCATACAACATGTACACACACTTGGCACACAACAACATGTTCACACACCCTGGCAACATTACAACATGTACACACACCCTGAGCAACATTACAACATGTACACACACCCTGGCAACACACATGTTCACACACCTGGCAATATAAATATGCACACACATGGCAACATAACATGTTCACACACCTGGCAACATTACAACATGTACACACACCCTGGCAATATATGTACACACACCCTGGAAACATTAAACATGTCACGCACTCTCATATAACATGTACACACACTTGCAACATACTTGCAACATGTACACACACACCCTGCAATATAACATGCACACACCTGGCAACATTACAACATGTACACACACCCTGGCAACACAACATGTTCACACACCTGGCAAACATTACAACATGTACACATACACTGGCACACACACACACACACTGGCAACATTATAACATGTACACACACCCTGGCAACATTCACCTGTACACACACCTGGCAACATTACACATGTACACACACACCCTGGCAACATGTACACACACCCTGGCACATAACATGTACACACACCCTGGCAACATTATAACATGTACACACACCCTGGCAACATTACAACATGTTCACATACTGCAACATTACATGTACACACACCTGGCAACATTACAACATGTACACACACTGGCAACATAACATACTACACACCTGGCAACATTACAACATGTTCACGCACCCTGGCAACATTACAACATGTACACACACTGGACAACATAAACATGTTCACGCACCCTGGCAACATACACATGTTCACACACCCTGGCAACATTACAACATACACATACAACACATAATACATGTTCACACCCTGGCAACATATATGTACACACACCTGGCACATTACAACATGTACACACATCCTGCAACATATATACACACACTGGCAACATACACATGTACACACACACCTCTGGCAACATTACAACATGTACACACACCCTGGCAACATTACAACATGTTCACACACCTGGCAACACAGCAACATGTACACACCTTAAGCAATACATGTACACACACCCTGGCAACATTACAACATGTACACACCCTGGGCAACAGCAACATGTTCACACACCCTGGCAACATTTAACATGTACACACACCCCTGGCAACATTACAACATGTTTACACACTCTGGCAACATTACAACATGTTCACACACCTGGCAACATTACAACATGTACACATACACATGTACACACACACCCTGGCAATATGTACACACACCCTGGCACATGTACACACACTCTGGCAACATATAACTGTACACATACACTTGGCAACATTACAACATGTTCATATCCTGCACATAACATGTATACACACCCTGGCAACATTACACATGTTCACATATATGGCAACATGTTCACACACCCTGGCAACATTACAAATATGTTCACATTTACACACACACACACACACACACACACACACACACACACACACACACACGACCACTTAACCCACAGGAGCACTTCATTGAAACCCACATGACATGAATAAGCTTTGATGAGCATCTACCTGAAACCCACAAGAGTTATGAGGTCCCAGAAACATCTCTCTGAAACCCACCTCAGCAGAAGGTCAAGGAGCACCTACCTTTAGCCAGTCGCGGAGCCAGGTGACGGTGGGTTTGGGGTCTCCCGCCACCTCACACTCGATGATCACCAGGTCACCCTCCTCAGCGTCGATGGTCCGCGGCTTCCTCACGAACATGGGCTCGTTGTTGTACCTGAAGGAGGCGGTGAAGGAACAAGGTCATTAAGTGTTACCAAGACAATATACTGATATACCAAAGTCACCACTAACAGCATCATGCTATACCAGTCTTACACCTGTTTTATACCTGTGCTGTACATATGTAGCGAGGTAATCACCCCCCCCCCCCCACTCACCATGACACAATAATATGCCCTAACCAAACACACACGTAATCACACACTCCAACTGTTGTGACGACCACAGGAAACTCCATAAGGTGTATCAACATAGAAGCCAACCCTGTATGACACTCCCTCACAACACAGATGGTTACTGACTCAACCATCAGCAGTAATGATCATTCCCAACAGCAGGTATTGATAGGGAGACACATTGACTCTTAACAGGGAATCGAAAACCCTGTTGTGGGATCAGTGTAAGAGAGTAATTAATCTCGGTAACAGTAAACAGTAAAGCAACAGATGTATAGATCACACCTGAAAATAGTAATTAATATCGGTAACAGGTAACACACCACCACTGGGGAAGTCACTTTACTGTACTCCTCCTGTGTAATATTCATCTCACCTATCCAGGAAATATGTCCGAAATAATTATTTTTGTTTTAAATAAAATGCTTGCGGGTTATGGTTGTAAAGAAAGGCGAAATAATAATAATAATGATAATAATAATAAAAATAATATTTTTTTTCTAAACAGTTACAGTATAGCAAACTTCTTCCCAACAGTCCAACAAGCTTACAGAAAAACAACATCGTCCGTGCCACTTACAGAACGTGTACGTGGGGCCACTTAGAGAACGTATACGTTGTGCTACTTACAGAACGTGTACGTGGGGGCAACTTACAAGGCGTGTACGTGGGGACCACTACCAGAAAATGTACGTGGGGGCCACTTACAGAACGTGTCCGTGGGGTGGCAGCACGCACCTGACCCATATATAGCGAGGTAAAGTAATTTGAATGTAACCAAATGAGCTGACAATTATACTTAACTCCTTATAAAAAATACAAGAGCGGAGTTTACTGCCCCATAACTCTCTCTCTCTCTCTCTTTCTTTTTCTTTATTTATTGTGTCTGTGTGTGTGTGTGTGTGTGTGTGTGTGTGTGTGTGTACTGTTTATGTATGTGTGTGTACTGTTCATGTATGTGTGTGAACTGTTTATGTATGTGTGTGTACTATTTATGTATGTGTGTGTACTATTTATGTATGTGTGTGTACTGTTCATGTATGTGTGTGTACTGTTTATGTATGTGTGTGTACTGTTTATGTATGTGTGTGTACTGTTTATGTATGTGTGTGTACTATTTATGTATGTGTGTGTACTGTTTATGTATGTGTGTGTACTATTTATGTATGTGTGTGAACTGTTCATGTATGTGTGTGTACTGTTTATGTATGTGTGTGTACTATTTATGTATGTGTGTGTACTGTTCATGTATGTGTGTGTACTATTTATGTATGTGTGTGTACTGTTTATGTATGTGTGTGTACTATTTATGTATGTGTGTGTACTGTTTATGTATGTGTGTGTACTGTTTATGTATGTGTGTGTACTGTTTATGTATGTGTGTGTACTGTTTATGTATGTGTGTGTACTGTTTATGTATGTGTGTGTACTGTTTATGTATGTGTGTGTACTGTTTATGTATGTGTGTGTACTGGTTATGTATGTGTGTGTACTATTTATGTATGTGTGTGTACTGTTTATGTATGTGTGTGTACTGTTTATGTATGTGTGTGTACTGTTTATGTATGTGTGTGTACTGTTTATGTATGTGTGTGTACTGTTTATGTATGTGTGTGTACTGTTTATGTATGTGTGTGTGTTTATGTATGTGTGTGTACTATTTATGTATGTGTGTGTACATGTATGTGTGTGTACTGTTTATGTATGTGTGTGTACTGTTTATGTATGTGTGTGTACTGTTTATGTATGTGTGTGTACTGTTTGTATGTGTGTGTACTGTTTATGTATGTGTGTGTGTTTATGTATATTATTATTGTACTGTTTACATGTATGTGTGTACTGTTTATGTATGTGTGTGTACTGTTCATGTATGTGTGTGTACTGTTCTAAATGTATGTGTGTGTTCGTGGCATGTGTGTACTGTTCATGTATGTGTGTGTGCTGTTCATGTACATGTGTACTGTTCATGTATGTGTGTGTACTGTTCATGTATGTGTGTACTGTTTATGTATGTGTGTGTACTGTTTATGTATTTTTATGTATGTGTGTACTGTTTATGTATGTGTACTTATTTATGTATGTGTGTGTACTGTTTATGTATGTGTGTGTACTGTTTATGTATGTGTGTGTACTATATGTATGTGTGTGTAATTGTTTATGTATGTGTGTAGTAATGTTTATGTATGTGTGTGTAATTGTTTATGTATGTGTGTACTGTTTATGTATGTGTGTGTGATTGTTTATGTATGTGTGTACTGTTTATGTATGTGTTGTTGTTTATGTATGTGTGTGTATGATGTATGTGTGTACTATGTATGTGTGTGTGTGTACTGTTTATGTATGTGTGTGTACAATTATTTGTATGTGTGTATTTATGTATGTGTGTACTATTTATGTATGTGTGTGTGACTGTTTATGTATGTGTGTGTACTGTTTATGTATGTGTGTGTGTACTGTTTATGTATGTGTGTATGTTTTGGTACTATTTATGTATGTGTGTGTATGTTTATGTATGTGTGTGTACTATTTATGTATGTGTGTGTACTGTTTATGTATGTGTGTGTACTATTTATGTATGTGTACTGTTTATGTATGTGTGTGTACTGTTTATGTATGTGTGTGTACTATTTATGTATGTGTTTGTATGTTTGTGTGTGTACTGTTTATGTATGTGTAATTGTTTATGTATGTGTGTGTACTGTTTATGTATGTGTGTACTGTTTATGTATGTGTGTACTGTTTATATGTGTGTGTACTATTTATGTATGTGTGTGTACTGTTTATGTATGTGTAAAATTGTTATGTATGTGTGTGTACTATTTATGTATGTGTGTGTACTGTTTATGTATGTGTGTGTACTGTTTATGTATGTGTGTGTACTGTTTATATGTGTGTGTACTGTTTATGTATGTGTGTACTATTTATGTATGTGTGTGTACTGTTTATGTATGTGTGTACTGTTTATGTATGTGTGTGAACTGTTTATGTATGTGTGTGTACTATTTATGTATGTGTGTGTGTATTGTTTATGTATGTGTGTGTAATTGTTTATGTATGTGTGTGTGTACTTATTTATGTATGTGTGTGTACTGTTTATGTATGTGTGTGTACTGTTTATGTATGTGTGTGTACTGTTTATGTATGTGTGTGAACTGTTTATGTATGTGTGTGTACTGTTTATGTATGTGTGTGACTGTTTGTTGGTGTGTGTTTATGTATGTGTGTGTACTTTTATGTATGTGTTTTGTTATGTATGTGTGTGTACTGTTTATGTATGTGTGTACTGTTTAGTATGTGTAATTGTGTATGTGTGTGTACTATTTATGTATGTGTGTGTACTGTTTATGTGTGTGTACTATTTGGTGTGTGTACTGTTCATGTATGTGTGTACTATTTATGTATGTACTGTTTATGTATGTGTGTGTACTATTTATGTGTGTGTACTGTTTGTATGTGTGTAATTGTTTATGTATGTGTGTACTGTTTTGTATTTATGTATGTGTGTGTACTGTTCATGTATGTGTGTGTACTATTTATGTATGTTTGTTTATGTATGTGTGTGTGTACTGTTTATGTATGTGTGTGTACTATTATGTATGTTTTTATGTATGTGTGTGTGTACTGTTTATGTATGTGTGTGTACTGTTTATGTGTGTGTGTGTACTTGTTTATGTAAGTGTGTGTACTTGTTTTGTATGTGTGTGTACTGTTTATGTGTGTGTAAAATTGTTTATGTATGTGTGTGTACTGTTTATATATGTGTGTACTGTTTATGTATGTGTGTACTGTTTATGTATGTGTGTACTGTTTATGTATGTGTGTACTATGTAATGTGTGTGTACTGTTCATGTATGTGTGTGTGTACTGTTTATGTATGTGTGTACTGTTATGTATGTGTGTGTACTGTTTATGTATGTGTGTGTACTGTTTATGTATGTGTGTAATTGTTCATGTATGTGTGTACTGTTATGTATGTGTGTCCCCAAAATTTAACACGACCAAATATTTAAACACAAACCCAAACACTTACAAAAAAACACACACAAGGAAAACACCAACACACACACAAAACCACAAAAACAGTGAATAAAATTAAGACGCCTAGAAACCGTGTTGGTAATTAGGGTTTCAGCCCAGACAGTCGCTAGAGACGTTTTCAGCGGCCGAGGTCTTAAATAACAATTATATATCGTAAAATTCAGACGTAAACACAAGTGGTTGAAAAGGTAGAGGAGAGTTAAGTTCCGTTTATTTAGTGTGGGTCAGCGTCACACTAGGTAATGGTAACAGTGGGTCAGTCACACTGGTAATGGGTAAGGGGTCAGCCGTCATGGTGGTAATGGTAACAGTGTGGGTCAGCCGTCACACTAGGTAATGGGTACAGTGTGGTAGCCGTCACACTAGGTAATGGGTACAGTGTGGGTCAGCCGTCACACTAGGTAATGGTAGTGTGGGTCAGCCGTCACATAGGTAATGGGCAGGGCCAGCCGTCATACTAGGTAATGGAACAGTGTGGGTCAGCCGTCACACTAGGTAATGGTAACAGTGGGTCAGCCGTCATACTAGGTAATGTACAGGGGTCAGCCGTCATAATAGGTAATGGTCAGTGGGTCAGCCGTCACACTAGGTAATGGTAACAGTGTGGGTCAGCCGTCACACGGTAATGGGTACAGTGTCAGCCGTCACACTAGGGTGGTAAGGGTGCCGTCACACTAGGTAATGGTAGTGGGTCGGTGGTGGTGTTGGTGGTAATGGTACAGTTGGTCAGCCGTCACATGGTGGCAGTGTGGGTCAGCCGTCACACTAGGTAATGGTAACA